TTTATAATTTTATATCATATTAAAACTATGGCATTGTCAATATTAAAAATATGCGCTTATGCTCTCAACAAAGGAAATACAAAAGTTGTTCAAAAAAAGGAAATACAAAAGCATTTTACATAAAAAAATAAAAAAAAGGAAGTACAAACATAGGCCGACAAACAATTGATGTTTCGGCCTTAAGTAGGGCATCGAATTTACTCCTGGTCTGGGCTTTCACTCCTGCTGGGCCCAATTGTGTTTCGTCTGCAAATCCGAAGGTCCACTAATGGAGGAAAAAAGAACCCAAACTTATGCCAGCTCTTCGCCTTAACCCAGACCTAAACGCTGCAAAGAAACCGTGAAGCGGCGAATCTGTAAAGGAAGCCATGACTACGAAGGAGGGACAGAGCAGGAAACGGAAGAGGGCAAGACGACACCGGGAACCGCCGCAGTCGACACACACGACGGAGCATAAACGAGAAACCCATCAACGAGAACATGCTCGCCAATCCTCTGCTTCTGCAATGCCACCCAAATCCTCTTCTTCTTCTTCTTCTTCTTCCTCTTTTCTCGACAAGGTGTCTCTCTCTTTGCGTTTATATTTATGTACAGAATTACAGATACATGATTCCTGAAGCCTTGGATGTGGATGTGCAGATTAAAGCCAAGTTAGCTGGAGGACACTTCAGGATGATCAATGAAAAGCTCTACACTTGCACGTAATTCCATCTTTCCCTCTTCTTCTTTCATGGTTTTACTTATTACTGTTTCACTATCCCTCTCTGGTTTTTGCTAAAGAAGTAAAAGAAAAGAGAGAAATTTGGGGTCAATTATATTTCTTGATTATGAAGATTGAACTCAGTTGAGCTCTAAACTCCAATGAAATGTGTGGTATTGTTATATAGTTGATTTCTTGAAATTTTTCAGTTTTTTCATAATAATACCCTTTTTTTTTTTTTTTTATTTGGATTATTGTAAGTTTATGTTCCCACTTATGGCATATTGGGTAAATTTTATTTGTGAAACTAGTGCCTGATTTCTTGAATATAGTTCAACTCCTTTCTTCTTTTTCAAACGGGTGAAGAAGCACTCAAATATTTCAAGGAAGACCCTGCATTATTTGATATGGTGAGACTTAAATTAAACCTGATTCTGATATTCTTTAATATGACTTCTATATACTTATAGATTCACTGTATTTTCCTATCTGTTGCTTTACTTGAGAGAAAGGTCGATAATTGATATTTATATTATTGAATGCATAATCAGTATCAAAATAAATTTCTTCCTGATATCACTCAAAGTTGTCTTAGTCTTCTTCTCTAGTTGTAGTTCGATTCATAATACCTATGGTGCTAAAAATGTTTGAAACTTTTGAATATTAGAATGATCTAGTTGCATGTGGACTTATTTTTTTCACCCACCTGGCCAGTATCATACAGGATATCAAGAGCAAATGTCACATTGGCCGGAGCAACCAGTCAATATTATCATAAAATGGCTACAGGATCATAACCCTCGTTTAACTGTGGCGGATTTTGGCTGTGGTTAGATTTTGCGGAACTACTTTTTATTTTTTATTTTCATTCAGTGTTACAATGATAAAATAAGGATATTTATTCATGACCAAACACGTGATATCTGAGAGATCTCCATTTGTTATTTGTTAATTTCATCTTGCTCGTTTGTGTTCCAGGAGATGCACGCCTTGCAAAAAATGTGAAGAATGAAGTTTTCTCTATTGATCTTGTTGCACATGATCCTTCAGTAATTGCCTGCGATATGTCAAATGTATGTGGTTCTGTTCAAAATGCTTTCTAAGGTTTTAACAAGTAATAATAATGTGCAAGTAAGTAGTTAAGTAAATAGGGGCAAGTTGTTGGGGGAGTTTCTAATACTATTAATAAGCAGATGACAAGTCTAGTGGATTTGTTTTTCTTTTTCTCCTTCTCTAACTTAATCTCAAGTAAGACATGCTTGTTTTCAATTATAAATTCAGATAATTAGGTTTGTAAGATCAAAATGTTGAAACCACGAGGAATCCATGGAATTCATAGATAGACATTTGTTTAGTGCATTTTGTATCCTTACAATTTGTTCTTGCCATACTGCCAGACACCCCTTGACGCTGCCTCAGTAGATGTTGCAGTCTTCTCTCTTTCATTGATGGGGACTAACTTCTCTAGTTACCTTAAGGAGGCACACAGAGTTCTCAAACCAAGGTGGCCAGAGCTTCATTTTGTATCAAGCCTTTATGTCACCATTCTTTTCTTGGTTAAATTATCTGACCTTTTGTGGTTCTTTGTAGTGGTTGGCTTTTGATAGCAGAGGTCAAGAGCAGATTTGATCCGAGCAATGGAGGAGCAGACCCAAATAAATTTTCTACAGCTGTTTGTGATCTTGGATTCACCTCAACGTCAAAGGTATTCTCTTTCTACACATTCCATCTGTTTGCATCGATAAACTGCTGCCTTAACCACTAACAGAAACACTTCATTTGCAGGACCTCTCAAATAAGATGTTCATTTTACTATACTTCAAGAAAAAGGTTTGCAGCTCTTTGTCAAGAGCATACCTTCCTCCTTTGTTTCGCTTGTTGATATGTTTGTGATTATGTGCTCAATATTTTCTTCTGCAGGAGAACCAAAAGTCGAAAAAGAAAGAAATTGAATGGCCTGAGTTGAAACCCTGTTTGTACAAGCGTAGGTGAGATAAAGAGGCACAAAAATACAACTCATTTTCTGCTATGTGTCCAAAATTTTGTCAGCTGCTTCTGTATCTACATTCTGCAATGTGATTTTGATAGTTGGAGATATAAATTGATTATCATTTCAATGTGTTGGATGAACTTAGACCAGACTTCCACAATTGGGCCTGAAATACCCTGCAGAAAAAAAGGGTCTCTAGAGGAATGGGGTCAGGTTGGTTTGGCATTATGCCTCACGTAAAACAGAGTCAAAAGTGGAGGGCCAATTTCACCGACTAAACGTCATCCTCCTCACAAGTCTCGTCGCCAAAAAATAAAAATAAAAGCTTCAATAGTTGACAGTTTTCACGACCGTTACCAAACTACATGACTTTTCTTCATCTTGATATTTGTATTATTATTGTTTTTAGGGAACACAAGGCATCAGCCTCCAAATCATTCCCGTCCACCGACATGACTCTTGGCTCTCTAATTCTTCAATATAAGTATAGAATGCAAAACGTTAGTAATGCTTTAGATTAACGAGTTAAGGATATAGAGATTGAGACATCATGTTTGT